AGCTTCTCACAGAAGCCGCCCCTGCAGCCCGCACCCCCCCACCCCCCAAACCTTGCCACACAACCCCAATACACACATAGTAATTTTCCAGCTGGGAAGAAGATACAGGACAATGGGTGGCAAACTTCCAAAGGAGTAAGGAGTGCTGAAGATGCCAGTTCTGTGGGCAAATGGGGAATAAAGGGGATGAAGCAGATCAGCAGAGTTATTTTAGTGGGGAAGCTTTCACTGAGCTGGTTTGGTGTGTTGAACTGCCATTTCTGAGTCAGTAGACACTATACAGGCCAAGTGTCAGCTGCCACTCTGAACCCAAGAGATAGACCTTATTTTTCCTTTCTCACTCTCTCTTCTGATTGTCCACTTTTTTTTTTATGACAGCAACTGAGGCATAGTTCTGTAGAGATGTATTAACTCTGTCCATAACCAATGAGCAGGAGGTAACTTGAAGGCTTTGGCCCAAGACTTGGAGAATGTTTGAATGATTGCTGGTACTCTTGGACTCCTGCTGTTATATAGCTAAGCATTGACAAGTCTGTTTGCTTGCTTCATTATGCAATTCAAAACCAAGTGAGTGCAGAGGGAAACAGAAGATGCTAATTAAAAGACCAGCTAGTTTTCATGCACAAATCTTTACTGGATTTAGATGAAAGGCATTAATATACCATCTGGTTCTATAGGTCCTGGTATATGTGAAGGTGTTAAGCAGGAAGCCATGAAATTTATGGAGGAGGCAGAGCAGCTCATCCTAGCATCAAATCGTTCCCACTTTGCTTTTGGAGAGAGCTTCTTGATGGCAAAGGGAATACAGCTCACAGACAACGACCTCCTACGTTCTGCTTGGCCCTACGAGTCAGAGGTGGTGGTCTCCGAAAAGCTGTTATCAGGCAGTGACTATGCTCTCCAGCTGGCTGCACAGTCGGGTAGGTGAAAGAGAGATGAGAGCTTAATTAAATGGATTAATGCCCAGGATCTGTGCAAAAGTACTCTATGTCAAATTCAACTTTGCTGAAAAACAGATGCAACTCAGCAGGTGTAATTAATCACTGTAATTAACCTGCCAACCCAAGAGCTGATTTCGGTTGTCTCGTATGTATGACATGATGCATATTTAAGATCTGGACATTTACCAGCCTTGATGTAGTTGCAGTGTTTGTTAATTTGCCTTCTAAGGTACAGGGGACGTTCAGGTGTTTGCAAACGTGTGCATTTAAAGTATCTTGTATTGACCACTAATAGTTTTCTTTTACTTATCTTTTATAGTCTTGCATTTCTACTGGCAGAGTCGCATTACTTCAAAACATTCTGCTGGGGAAGCAACACAGCTGGGATTTCTCCCGTACATCCCACAGTGTGATGGCCTGGGAAACTGGGAGCCAACTCAGTGCTATGAGAGCACAGGTGAGCAATTGCTAACAAGATACTCTGGGCTGTCTGAACAAAGAAATGCTAAGCATAATTCTAATAAAAAGATGGAAGATCTGTATTCTCGTAGACAAAATGGAGAGAGGTGAAGTGGTCCACAAGATGGGTGAAAAATTGGCTGGAGTGGGGGACTCCAGTGGCAGCTCACTGGGGCTCAAAAATCAGTCGATGTTTGGTGGCTTGCTACTAGTAGTGTTCCTCGGGGGTGAGTTCAGGGACTAGTATTGTTTAATGCCTTTGTTAATGACCGGGATGATGAAATGGAATGCACTCTCAGCAAATTTGTGGACAACAACAACAAATTGCTGGGAGTAGATGATAGGCTGCAGGATAGGGCTGCAATGGAAGAGTCTCACCTGAGCTGCTACATTTCCATTCTCACCACTCAGGTGTGGCCAACTTATCTCTGGATAGCAGAGTTAACTGCGACTTAGATTTACTGACCAGTTTCTGCAGTTCTGCTGAGGATGAAAATCTTCCCAGTACACAACAAACATACTGCAGTACAACACCTAAAATAAAGCTGCTTTTCTCTCCTGTCCAGGTCATTGCTGGTGTGTGGATGAGAGAGGACATTATGTCATGGATTCCTTGGTCTCACGCTCAGCAGAACTTCCCAAGTGTCAGTTGGTTTTCCTTTCTAAGTATTTGTTTTTACCTGTTCTTAGAAATTTCAATATTTATTGAAAATTCTAGTATACTATGCATGAAGCAAGGCTTGTTTCTAACCGTTGCAAGAAAAGAATAAGTAATTTTATGCTTGTTTTGCTAGTTCATTTAATTTCACTATGTGTGATTTTGGCTTGCATGATTTGAGAATGGACCCTCTGCTGTTGGTGGCCCTGCTTGAGCAGGGGGGTTGGACCAGATGTCCAACCAGATGTATCCAGAGGTCCCTTCCAACCTCAACCATTGTGTGATTCTGTGGTTATGAAACACCAACCAGGAATTCCCATCCTGAGGCTGTAGCAGAGCCTAATGGAGATGTGCAAAGGAGCTGGGGATGTACCCCTTTCCTCTAGCTTAGGTTTGAGAACTTCATTTTATTTTATTTTAACATGAATGTATGTTTTCCCTCTTACAGGCCAGACATCATGTCAGCGATCTCGAAGCAATGCCTTAATTTCCAGCTGG